CCGAAAACTCAATGGAAGAACTAATCAATTCTCTTTCCGGCTCAGACTGCATAGGTTAAAGCGTATGGGGCTGTCACGTGATGAACGAACGACTCTAACCGAAGACTTGTCAGATAAGAGGTGAGGTGAGCTAATCATAGACTGAAGACCCAGGTAAACAATTAATTAATCTTTTCTGTTTTTTATAGCAGTTTTGTATTGTTTGTAGTGTGATCAACGTTTGCGGAAGTAGTAGACGTTTTAGGGAAGTAACACGTAACATTTTAATTATATTTTGCTAAAATGAACGAAATGACTCGGGAAAAAAGATTTGTTCATTTTGCTGAACGAGACTCAAAGGTCCGAGTCGGTAAAATGATCCGAACTTCCCATCACTAATCGATTCTTGGGATTTAAGAATCGATATCGTTCCGTAAAAATGAGAATCGATTAACATCGAGATATCGATATTTTTTACCCAGCCCTATTTGTATAGTAAAAGGCAGCCTGGACATTCCGCTAAACATCTTTTGTATTCCACAGAAGAAAATTAAACCATACAGGTTTTATGCAACATGAGGGTGAGTAAATGATGATTTAATACTCATTTTAGGGTTAACTAATCATTTCATGAGAAACAGTGAGAATGCAGTACAGGTCCTTCACAGTACCTTCCTCTGAATCGAAGGAATGTCCTCCCTGGCTCAGTGGAGCTCTGCAGGTATGACAGCGGAAACATTCCCTGTGGAAGTGGAATCCCTCCGCGCTGAGCCTCTCCACTGCAAACACCCGTTTCTTACACGCATGGCACACATCTCCCAAACTCTGAAATTCTCTTTTTAAGGAAGGCTAAGGGAAAAAAAAGAAAGAAACAAAGAAACAAAAAACATTTAAGATTGTGTCGACATGTTTAAAATAACCCTGAGAATAACATCCACACTGACTGAGCTGTCATGGAAAATATCATATCAAAAACATTACACTGACAATCCTAATGTGATGAAATACTTCTAGTTTTGCAGTATACAGTACCTGGATGACCTACTGCAATGGCCAAAAATATACAGTATATCTTCAAACAGTGCCGGGTACTGTATCCCACAATGCACTCACTGTGCTTGATTTGACTTTTCAGTTTGGCTCATAGTGATGAACGAGCCAAAAGTCATTTCAGACATGAAACATCTTTTCTGACTCATTATTTGATTCAATGTTTTAAAATTGCATTAAAAGTGCAAAATAACCATATTTATTTTTGAGTTAATAATATGGACGCCACATAATGACTTCAACATGCAAAATGCAGGCTATGTGACATTTGAAATGGTGCTGCATTTTTCATATTTATTCACATACCATTTTTGGAAAGCAGTAGGCAGTATACAGTATTTACATTGCTGTACAGAATGTAAACCTCTATGAGAGATTTGATCTAATTTACTCAATTTAGAAGAGTAACCATGGTAACATTTTTGGAGCTTGATAGTCCCAGTTCACATTTGCTTTTAATGTATGGAAATCATCTCCTGTATTCCAGGGAAGAAAGTCATACAGGTTTGTAACATCATTAAGGTGAGTAAATGATGACAAAACTGTACATGTTAACATGAGCTTAACTGCACAGGATGAGCTCATAAAATTCCTAATTTAATTCATAATCGTTTTTAGATTAAAAAGAACTAAACAGTTGATCTGTGGCTTACCGGAGGGTCTGAGTTGCTTGCCTGGGGCCTATGATCATTTTCATAGAGGGTAACCAGACTGTCAGCTCTAGCGCCCACTATCAGAGACACTTTGCCTACTGTGCGCTACCAGCCAATGGGAGAGCAGGGACAGAAAGTGAAGAAAAGAGAATGAAACAGAAGGATAAAGCAATATAAGGCAGCGCATGAGAGGACATGCTGGGGAAAATCTGAGAGAAAATAATTCAGAATATATTTAACACCTTTCTGTCAAACAATGAGTCTGACTGATTAGATAGCTTCTTTCGAAACAGACTGCATTGCTCTATTCCATAACTCACTGAGCTGCCTAAATAGGCACCATCTTAAAGCATTACAGGAATATGGTGTAAAACAGGCAAGATGCATCAAGCACCCCTCCTTGTTTTTTTTTTGTGTGCAAATTTTATGGTAGCATTGCACTTATCCTTGTTAGCTTAGCAACATGCTAACATCAGACTACTGAAATGAGTATGTTTTGTTTCCTGTGCAGAGTGATACGTGCCAATGGCGTTTACGTAACTCAGGCTCATTGGAAATATATGACTCTGGCTACATTTCTACAAAAGAACTTAGAAATAAGTTGTTTCAGGTACATTCTGCTACATTATTCAGATGACACGTCCACTATAACACTTTCATTTTTTTCTCCATTGCAGATGCAGATTTATTAAACGGCAGTGTCTTGAAAAATTAAAATAAAAACGCATTTGCTAAAGCAACCATGCTGCTTTAGCTCTTTTGTTGAGTGTCATGACTCGTGTTCGAAGTGACTCGTACCCGAGCTCTCCACCTGGAAAATGCAGTGCAGTACTAGGTGAGCTACCGAGCAAGTTTACTATGTCAGAAAATCCATATATATGGAGCTGCTTATGTGCTGCTTAAGTCAAAATGTTTTAATTTACAAATCAGGTACTGTGGTAAAAGTATACTGAAGTTATAAAATATTACTGTGTAAGTAACCACCTAAAAATTTATATTTTTTAATCAATTATCTTCCCCTGTAATCATAATTTGTATAAATAGGAACAAGTTTTGTTGGTCTTTTACTGCCTCTAAAGTTAATTTCAGCTGGAAACTGCAGTGAAATGCATGCACAGGTATGCTTTTGCAGAAATGTAGCTGGATTCGCATTATTCACACATGCCTGGACTGCATCTGTAGAATGTAGGCATCTCATTTGGTTTTAGAACAGAGCCCATGTCTTTTAGCTGGGTTGTCGGTCATTCTTGAGATACTTCTAAAAGCATCCCGTGAAACTTGAAAAACTCCTATGTTGAGACGATTATGTAATGATCCAGTCAATTTTGAACTGTTCAGTGGGTGGAGCTAGAGTTTCAGGTCAGGCATCTGGCAATGGAAGAGAGGACTTTTGGAATGCTCTCTCTCTCTGTGGTCAGATGGAATGTATGGATGCTTACAGCCAAGTGTGTGTTACACTGGCACGTTCTCATTAGAAAACCAACCATGTGAAGAGAGACAGTCCATCAAAGAGAGCTGCCACCCTGATCAGTGCTCTCCAGTCCTGCCTACAACATGCCAACAATCTCCCGGAAGACTCATTCCAGTCATTCCGCAGATATGGTCATATACCTGTTTGGGAGCATATGAGTCTCCATTTGATTGAGGAACGACTGTTTGTTTTCTTACAGTAAAGGATGTTGTGCTACTGCTGGTGGCAGACTGAAATGTAGATTTGAGAGTTTATTGCAGCAAATGTTGTGATCATCTTTGGTTAAGTTATAGGAAAGATTTACCCAAAAAATTAATAATGCTCTAAACCGGTATGACTTTCTTTTTCCCATTGAACTCAAAAGGAGAAATTCCCAAGCTGGTTCTTTCCAAGAAAGCATTCTTGTTTTATTTGGTCTTTCAAACTCCAAAAATTATAATACCAAAAATACCAAAATACCATAAAAGTAGGATTATTGGAGTATGTTTTACAAGAAAATGCTATTTCAGTTTTTATACTTCAAAATGTCATGCATAATTCAATGTTACTTGTTAAATTTACTAGCAATTTCTGAGTGAATATTGTTTTAACGTAATTATTACATCTTAAAGTCCTTCTTCACTGAAACTCTTAAATCTCTGAGACATGAGACATTTCTTCCATGGTAGAAATAAAGCTATATAGGTTTGGAACGACATGAGGGAGAGTAAATAACAATAGCAGTTTCATTTGTGGGCAAACTTTTCACTTTCAATCAATTAATCAAACAATTATCCTGACAAACACTCACCATCTGAGAGTTACTCTTTGCATGTTTATGCCATAAAGTATTTCTGGCTTTAATTTACTGCTTTAAAAGAGACATGAGGAGAGTGATACTCAATATGTTAATAAGAAATGACTCTGAAAGGCATGAGAATTATTGAAGACAAACAGGAAGTGTTTTAAAGGTCAAATCACTGCTATACCTTAATGAGGAAGCAGAGGAGAATGTAAAGGAAAGATGGAGAGGAGCAGTGCATTCTGGGATGGGGTGAAATGTTATGGAGTTAGATTGAGGAGTATGGATAGAGGAAGAACTGGTCTGTCCAGAGCAGAGATGGAGAGACAGATTAGACAACAGAATTATGAAGATTTTGATTATATGTAGAATAAAATTAAATTGCACTTTTAATTGGAGATTACGCTCTAATATTATTAAAGTATCGCTAAGTAATTTTTGCTCACTGGTCTTGGACATTACACTGACACTATTCTGTATGAATGCAGCATCACACAAAGTTTTTCAGTCACTGATTGAGCCACTGTAAGAAAATACCCTATTCACAGACACATTTGGTACTTAAGATTAATTTATTTAGTGTCTGACAAGGAAGGAATAACTCATAACAGAATGTACAATCACTGGAAATTAAGTGGTAATGCCTATATACCTTGAGTGTGTATTCATTTTTAATAATTCAATGTCTCGAGTCATTTATTCTGTTTATCATGGCTGCCCATTGCACTTATATTATATTTTATATATATATATATATACATATACATACACACATATACAACAGTTCGTTCTGGTTCTCAAATCTGATTGGTTGAGAACCGTGAGATATTGTACTGGTATTGCTACAGGAACACGCTCTTTCACAATTTTGTATCACTCCGCTTGTTCTAGCCGGGTCTATGTTTTTTTTTTAATTATTCACTGAGCTAATCATAGAGTACATTAGTTAATATAAGAAGAAACGTCTAGCTTCGCGGTCTCTCTCTCTCTCATTTGGATGCACGTC